TGTTTACACACCATTTTGGCACTGTCTGCGGGAAATTTCCTTCAAAAAGCCATCAAAAGCATCATAGCTATGGCGAATGAAGATCCCTAGAGAAATTTGGAGTACACCTTAGACGAGGCTCGAGTCTCCAATCTTCCTTTAGTAACAGACCTACCGCTGAGTTTTTTTAGGTTAATTCAGATGCTAGTGACCGCCGATGGCTAATCCTTTGGGTCTATGGAGCTCATCTAAGACCCGATCGCCCAGCCATTGGGTCGATCGGGCATGGAGGTTGTGCTGACACCTTCAACGCAATCAGATCCACTCCTAATTGAGCAGATGGGACCTCCCGCCGGAGAACGTGCGCCAGCAGGTCAATTGATTGTCACCTTGAAAAAAAGAAGGAGTTTAGTAAGATGATTGCTGAGGTCGTTGCTTCCAAATGCACACAACAACATTTGTCAAATGTAGTAAATTCTACTACGACAACAAGAAGGGAGACGAAGGTCGAGTTTTCTAACAGCACGACAGAAGAAGCTCGCCGCGACCTAGCGGTGGAGAGAATGGTCGTGCAGATTTGAGAACTACAAGCAAATGTGAAAGTAAAACGAGTTGAGAGAGCTCGAGAGTGCCCTTTTGCCCAAGAAATCTTGGATGGTGATTTACCATCTGGGTTCAGAAAACTCAGTATCACATATGATGAGTGATGAGATTGGTGAATATCGTGGTATTATGCTAGTCACGAATCAAGTTCTATAATTTAAACCTATGCGCAGGGGAACTAAGGTTTAGTTTAGAATACTTACGACTTAAAAATTCGCAGACTCTGAGACGTTGTAGATTTCCTTTGATAGAGATCGGTTAATTCTACTTTGCTGGAAATTGAACGTGGCGTTCAGAGTCGCCAGGATGGTCGTGGGGGTTGGACGGGCTCGCAGCTCGTCTTGCGGCTGTGTCGCGGTCGCGGGTGAGACTCGGCATCGAGCATGCGGACATGCAGTAGAGCGTCGCTGGGAGCGAACGGGTGGTGCATGCCTGCAGCGTGCTGGCGCTCGGGTCGCGCTGGTCGCTCGTGTGCGACTGTGCATCGAGAGTGCAACATGCGAGCCGCGTGCGTTCAGGGCTGGGCGATCGTGGTGGTGTGCGAAAGTCGTCGGGGTCTCGTCAACCTCAGAGCCTTCTGCTGTATTATCGATACCTCTCTGATTGTCTTCGTGGGCAACAAGCTCGGAGAACTCTAGATTGGGAACTAGGGCAGGCTACACGCGTGTGAATGTTTCACGTTTTTCTCTTCTAATCCCAATGGATGTGGTGTTTATATAGGCTATAGCAGAACCCTTAGAAAATTATAATGTGGGCTTTTTCTTAAGTCTTTTGGCCTAATTGTGGGCCAAGTCCACTCTGCTGAATGACTTAAATAATATTTTAGTCCACTAAAAAAATATTATTGCATGCCCTCACTATCTCCAAATTACATTTGAGGCCCCAATTATAATTACCCGAATTACCTTTCATTTTTAAGATATAATATTCGTAAATTAATTTAATTAATGATAATCAAATCAATCTACATCTTGAACCGAAACTAGTACCACTCAAATCATTATTATTATGTCAAAATTTAATCCACCTGCAGAGTTTAATGTAATAATCCTTCATGGGCTCACTTCGAGGACATCATCAGACTAATGCACATGGTGACCGTAAATACTCGAACAACACACCATGCATGCAACATCATTATCTAACTCACCCAGATTAATGGCCCAGACAGAAGAACCTCACCTTCTGATGAATCAAAGCAGTGTCTGTCTGTTTATATCTTACGAGTTAAAAGAACGTTGCAATTAACTGAGGCCTAGTTTGTTTACGACGATCAGTATATAACAAACTACTCCTCTCTGAGATCCGTTCAATACACAAGTGTACTAGAAAGACTAATCAGTCGAGACGAACTGTACAGTTGATACTACAACTGTTCCGATGGTTTGTTCATTTCCATCAAGATTGTGAACCAACTTTTATGTTTCGCAAGTGATTGATAAAATGATCTTCTATCCATTCGTGATGAACCATTTTATCTACGCGCAAAACAACATAAAATAGAACTTATTTAATCAAACATGATTTTCATACAACAAAATAGTGTAAAAAATATTCAAAACAAAGCTTTCAGTATATACACTAACAATGGGTCCTACGAACCGTCCCAACATCAATGGAGCATCAAGAACATGGCCGTTTTGCATGGCTACATTGACGTTGTGAAGTATAGGGCATTTTTGGTGACCCTGAGAGGAGGAGCTCATAGTTGGTTCCATCAGCTCGCATGGGTTGGTGAGGGATTTTTACGATTTTTTAACTATTTTCCTCAACTAGTTCGCTAGCGCCAGATAGCAAGAGAATGCCTACTTTACATTGATGGCAATGCAATAGGAGTAAGGAGATTAGATCGGCATACTCGAGCTTGTGTGAAGGTGGCTTTCTCTTCGGAGGAGTTAAAGGCAGGAGGCTAGATAAATGGGTTGTGAGCTGGCTCATGTTGGATCTTGCTGGCTAACAAATGGGTTCAATATGATGATGTCTTGAAAAGTTGTATCAAATATATAGACATGTTAAAGTGGGTTGAGGCTTGCGGGCCAGCCCGCCCCGCCGCCCCAAAAGGGTGGGTTGGGCTGACATTTAGTGGGCCTAAACGGGTCAGCCCTTGCAGGCCACGGGCTTTGGCGGGGCGGGCCAAGTGGGCCGCGGGCTGGCCCACCTTGAAAAAAATTTAAACACACACCAATATCTCATATTTGTACACTCACCAATACCTCATCATATATGTCCCTCTTTTCTCTTCTCTCGCACAGAAGGTTCCAAGTTCCAACCCTCCAAAAATACCAAAACAATGATCTGATGTCCAATTTGATCTAAAAAAAAATAAAAAATCCCCAAATCAGAGGGACTTGCGATTTGCAAATCAAACAGGCACCCAAATTTTCAAACCCTAGCATCGTAGTCGTGAGAAGGAGCAGGTTCCATCCGCGGGCTCGACGGCGCAAAGAAGAGCTTCCATTCGGTGGTGGCGGCGAGAAACTAAGAGGGAGAGCTTGAGGCGGCTTCAGGTCGACTGTTGCTTCCACAGGGCATGGAAGAGATGTGGGGAGACAAATCTAGATCTATATATTAATTTTCTAAAAAAAATTCAAATTTTAACTTTAGGTATTTGTTAATATCTTAGAAGAGTGGTTTAATTACAATTCACAACTATCAAATGATATGATTAAAGAAATTGAAAAATACAAAGGACATAGAGATGAAGATGTGAGGTAAACATTAGGCATATACGGTATGGTTCTGAAATCTGATCATTTGTTGGGTTTTTCTTCCTAATGTCAATTCTCTTATTTTATTTGCTTTTACGGAATA